CCCCGCCGCCCGCCGATGCTGGGCGCGGTCCCCAGCAGCTGTCTTGCCTCCGGGCAGCTGGCGCCGGCAGGTGGTGCTCACCCGCGGTCAGTTCTCTGGTTTCCTCCGCCACCTGGGCCGACAGTGTCCAGGCCCTCGGAGGGGGCCACGCTGTCCCACCTGATGGAGGTGAGGCCCTCCTGGTCCCCGAATCTCCTCTCACGTTGGTAGACAGTTCCCACGCCACGCCCTCCCGCCAGAGCCCGTCCGCGTGGCTCCCGTGGCTCCCTTACTACCCGGCGGCCACGGCTCGTGTTCAATCTCTGACTTGCGGAGTCCTCGCTTCATTCTCTGTGGTGCCCGATGCCACCTTCCTGAAGCGGCTCCTTCTGGGGGCTTTACAGGGTTTTTTTTACACAGATACAAGTGGGGATCCCCACACACACACGTGCACACACATGCACACGTGCCCATCCCATTAGGAGAGGCGGAATTAGTGCAGTTTTCGTAAGCAAGTTAAAGCTACCTCGAAAGAAAATGAAACTCCCAGACGCTGGTGGGGTTTTAGAGGATCCCGTTTAATTTTAATCATGAGGAAGTATTTCCGTTTCTCTTCTCCGTGGGCGCTGCGACCATCAGTGTTGTCTGTTGCCCGAGCTTGTGCTGAGAGGTCTCAATTGCAGGTATAAAATGTTTTATAGGAGACGTCATAAAGCAGTTGAATTTTACGGGGTTTGACATACCCCATTGCAACAAATGACTGCATTTAATTCTCTCCAGAGTATGACGGAAATAAGATTCCACTGGAGTCAGCTGGGCCCGACCGAGCTCCCCGGTAACCGTGGGGTCATTGAGGGGAGTGACCTGCAGGACTGTGCCCAGAGCTGTGGGTGCACTGCAGGGGTGGTTACAGCCCCAGGGGTGTGGTGGGGGGAGAGGAGGCGGTCAGGAGGGCCCAGAAACAGCTGTCTGGGAAGACAGACCTGTGGCCTTTAACTGGGGACCTATCCAACCTGAGGTGACCCAGAGGACGAGGGAACCCAGGGAAGGCACCCGACCTCCCTCTCCTCTGCCTCTGGTCTCCTGTTCAGAGGATGGAAGGACAGACTGACTTGTCCCTGACGGTCCCAGTGGGTTTTATTGGGACCGATGGGTGGAAGCCTCAAGGGGGTGGACTTTGACTCAGATACTGGAAGGAAAACTTACAATCGCCGGGGCCGCCCAGAGAGCCGAGGGGTCCTTGTCCCCTGCGGGGGCATAGCCCTGGCTGCACCATCGTGGTGGAAGGAGGGTCGTTCAGGAAGGGGGGTCGCAGCAGGGACCCCGGTTTGTGGCCAGAACCAAGCTGAAGGACACATGCCCGCAGCGCTCGGGCAGCGCCGTTCTGCGGACCGTGAGCGACGTGCCCTTTTAGCACCCTGTCCGGACTGTGACGCTTTCTCGGTTATCTTCCCATCCGGAGTCCAGCGGCGAGGTTACCGCAGCCGAAACGGAACAGCGGTCCCCGCAGCCCCGCCCGTGGCCCCGTGGCCCCGTGGCCCCCCGAGCCTGGTGGCCCCGTGGCCCCGAGCCTGGTGGCCCCGTGGCCCCGTGGCCCTGGTTAGTTGTACAGCATTCGTGCGGGTTTGCGTCAGGGCTAACTTCTCTGCTCCCCGGAGAAGAGGCGGAGGTGGAGGGAGGTTAGGTGACTTTCCTGTCCGGGGTCAGCTGCTGGTAGGCGACAGAGCCGCCTCCTCATTCTCTGCCTCACACCCTCTGCTGGGCGGAAAGTGCGTCTTCGAGGTGCGCGGAGCTGGCGACCGCGCCTCCTTGGTGTCCTCAGGTTCCAGGCGCAGACGGGAGCTTCGTGGGGCTCCGCGCCCCCAGGTGGGGTAGCCCAGGCCTTTCCTGTGGGGCGCGGGGCAGCCTGTTGCCCCAGGCCTGTCAGACGGGGGGTTTGCGTGCGGAAATCCTGTCGTGGTCTTTTCTCGTGTTTTTTCCTCCTGGATTCCTGGCGCTTTGTCCTGAAGGTCTCGGGAGGGACTTATTGTAGCTTCGTCACCACCAACAATCCCTTGGTGGTTCGTCCTGGGTCTTTGTTGAACCGCTGTGCCCTGTGGGTCCCTGGTGGGTACTGAAATATTACCTTGTAGCGGGAACGTCGCAGACCGGGCTCAGTCCCTTACGGCGGAAAACGAATTGCCCGTGGCCGAGCCATCAGAGGTGAGACCCGAGCCTGTTTACAAATTTCATTAACTCCGAGGGGCGGAGGTCAGCGTGGACTGGGGCTTCCCTGTGCTTTCAGAGGGGACATCACGCGTCGTTTTATTCTTTCATCCAATATCAAGCAGCCCGCACACAGGGAGCGCCGTGCGTTTGGCTCCGTGGGAGACACCGGAAATAAAGCCCCGCCCCTCTCTGCACCCCCCCCCATGCTCAGGCCTGAGATGAGGCCCCCCGGGTGGGCCCTGGGATTTCAGGGAGAACGTGGAGAAGGCCTGGGTGGCTCAGGGGCAGGACAAAGGCCCACCGGGTTGTGGAAGTTAGGGGAGCCCACCTGCCGTGGGACTCAGTTGTATATTCTGCAGGTGGGGTGCGCACCGTCTTACGGAACAAAGTGCTGCAGGTGCCCCAGCAGGTGTGGCTCGGTTGGCCGAGCGTCGCCTCATGCACTGGAAAGGTCCCTGGTTCGACTGTCCGTCAGGGCACCTTGTCAGGTTGTGGGTTCGATCCCCGGTCAGGGTGCGTGCAGGAGGCAGTTATTGATGTTTCCCTCTCACGTCGATGTTTCTCGCTCTCTCTCCCTCTCTCTAAAATCAGTAGAAATATTTTTTAAGAAAAGAAAAATGCTACAGAGAGCATCACATTTTCATTCGGCGTCATCTGTCACAACAACTTTCAAAACACCAGGGGTGGCGGTAAAATCAGCCGCAAACCGAAGTTTTGTTTTCACTTAGACACGAAGAAACAAATGTTGCTGTTCTTTACTTTTTTATTAGTTATTTGACGTTTTGGAAGGGCCTTGGGAGAGAAAGAGAAAGTCACACGTGAGGCGTTGTGCAGGTTTATTTCTCCTTGTTTGTATGATGACACTTACTACAAGAAATCGATACGCGGGCGCGTTGCAGCTCCGTGAGGCCGGGTTTCGTTGACCGTCGCGCAGTTTGGGGCATCGCTGGGTTATCTGCGGAGTCTGCACATCATGAGGGAGGGCATGTGTTTCTTTGGTTATTTAAGTCTCATCACCACAGTGTCCTCTTCGGACACAGTTAACACACTGCTCACTGCGCGGCGTGTGCCCTTCACCGGCGGGAAGTCGGGGCTGAGGAGGTACCTTGTGGTTTCTTGTTTAGTTTTGTATTAGTCAGAGGTTTGGCTGGAGCGAGAGGGAGGGGAGGTTTATGAAAGCTCTGCCGACACCACCCCCATGCAGCCCTCCTGGATTCCTCCTCCGGATGTTTGCACACTTGCCAGCACGGCAGCTGCCGTGAGCGAAAGGAGAGGGAACCAGAAGCCTCCGCAGTCGACTCGGTGGAAACCCCGCAGCCCACAGTGGTTTTTGGTAGCGGTCGGTCTCCGTCATTGAACCTCCTTATTATTAAGCTCGTTGGTTAGTGCACCTGCCTAATTGAGCTTAGCAGGTAATTACAGTGAATGTGAAAAACCGAGAACCGGAGGCTCTTCCCGGGAGGTGACCCTCACCCCCGGTAACCTGGGAGCCAGGAGACCGGCCGGGTTTCTCTGCCCCGGAGCTGGAAGGCCTGGGAGGCACCACGGACGCGGGCGGACTTGCCGGCTGCCCGCGGACCAGGTTGTTTTCCCAGAGAGAGTGTCGGGTTGTACCCGCAGCCTCCGTGAGAGCGGACGTGCCGGGGTTGAGTAGATCCGGCTGACTGAAGACACTGACATTGTGGACGGGGCACAGCTGACTCGAAAGCCGTCCTGCGGGGAGAGTCCATCCGGCACAAACACACACGCGCCAGCAGCGGGAGCGGGTCTTTGTGGGAGCCAGCGGGTCGGAGATAAACAAAGATGAGTCGGTCACAGCAGGGGCGGCCGGAACAGAGGACTCCCATCATGACAGCCGATG